TACATATGTATGTATATATACACACACACATACACACAGTACGTGTTTGTGTGTATGTACATATATGTGTATATATATGTATATAAAATAATATACTGACCTTTTTAACATGGAAGATTACAACTTTCACTGAAAACACAGCCTTCCATGTTCTTATTGCAGGTATGCTGGTATTTCTTCAGGATCACCACCTTTTCTTATATTTACAGGAAATCTACTAGAAATAATGTTTTTCCTTAATCCAAAAGTGGAGGAAAAGGGGTGCAGAAAAAATACTTTTCCACTGTATTGTCAGAGGCTAGTAGATAAACGGTTTCTGTAGATTTAGTTGTGTTTATTTATAAGGAGGGTCCTAATTTTCATAGATATGCACTTATTTAATAGTTGAGGCTTAATCTTTTTGAGCTTATAGATGAAACTTCCCTTGAATGCTCCATCTGGCAGCCTGAATGTCTCAAAGCAGCAATCAAAAGAAACCTGTACAAACAGAGCAAAATGGTAACTGTGCTACCTAGGAGCAGACAAGTGCTCACTGTGGAACTCATTTCATTTTTCTGTACAGCTGAAGTTTTCCACAAGTTGTTGGGGGGTGAAGGGACTCATCTGCAACGACGCCATCCAACCGTGACTTCCCATGGAACTTCCACAAAGTCACTACTGGGAAAACACATACATATCCACGTGTCAAAGCTTGTCATTTACAGCTATAAAAAACAAAAATATTTTTAAGAAAGTATTGCTTTCACTGAATAAAATTTAGAAAATAGACAAAGAAAAAAACTCATCTTTCCAATCCTTTTTGTGTATATATTTGGTTTTGTTAACATCTTGTAACCTTTAAAAAATTGTACGTAATTTGTTTAATGGCTACATGGTATTCCATTATGCAAGTTATATAAATGTACCATACTATAGTTCTCAAACCTGATTACTCAACAAAATTACCTGGGAACATTTTTTAAAAATACAGATTCTTGGTACTCACCTACTAAATAAGAATCTCCAGGGATGATGCCAAGGAATTTGAACTTTTGAAGTTTACCCTCTGATTGTAATGCATTTAATTAACCTAATTAATTAGCACATACTTCATTTATTTAATCCACCATTATCAAAGATGGAGTCGTTTCCAATTTTTTGCAATTATCAACAACAATCACAATAACACTGCTACCTACAAGGACTGGTATCTCTCTGCATACATAGACAATTATTATGAGGATAATAAAGTGGTTTATTTGCTTTTTAAAAAGATTTTTATAATCAGGGAACTATGAAGTAACCGCAGCTCTGGGAGTGCCCGCCCACCGCCCCACACACAATCAGGGAATTCCTGGGAAGACTGGCAGTCATCCGGGCCCCGCGGCTACTTGAGAAGAGGTCAATGGGAGTTAAAGGTCCTAACAACCCAAGAAAAGCTCTCAGACAGAGGTCTGCCTTCTCCCTTATCTCCAGAATCACGCAAGTCCTGCTCAGAAGGGCCCGAGTCCACCGCACTGAGTTTGGCTCCTCCTGTCTCCTGCCGCCTTGTTCAAGTTCACATTTAGCAGTTCACACGGTACGGACCCCCAGTCCCACGGACTCCTAACTATTCTCCAGCACCCGGGCCCTTCTGAGAGGTCTGCTCCCGGCCTTCCAGCCACTTCTCGGCCCCTTCCCCAAAGCAATGAGAACCAATCCCTGCCTTTTATCTTATTGACAGAAACTAACATTCTGGGTCTCAAGAAAGCTTTCAGAGACCATCAAGTCCAATCCCACTCAGAGTACATGCGAGAAGTGGGGCCCAGAGATGGGAAGGGCCTTAGAACTCCGACTAGGGATCCCACAGACCTCGCTCCCAGCACCCTCACCACCATCCCGGCCCCTTTCCGCCCTCCCCTGGTCCCCGACCTCCCTCGTGTCTCTCCAAGTCGGCTCCCCTCGCTCTACTCCAGGCCTTCACGAGCATTCCAGAGGCCCTAACCCAACCCAGCCCTCGGCTTCCGGCCTTCCCCCGCCTACGAAACACGCAGGCTGAAGCAGCCGCACAGATCAGAGACACGACAAGGACCAGCCGTGCCCCTCCGGCCGGCCGAGTCCGCTCCGGGCGCAGGCGCAGCCTCGGCCGGCGCGCGTCGGTGACGTCACGGGCGGCGCCATTTACGAGCTCCGAGCGCCTGGGAGCTCAGCTGCGGGTCGGAGCGCGTCGGTCTGTCGGCTGAGCGTACCGCGCGGCCTCGGGCGCCAGGAACCTCTCCACCACAGACTGGCGAGAGAGGCTCTGGTAGTCGAGGGTGCGGAAGAAGGCGGAGCGTGGCAGAGTGAGCGACGCCTGAAGGAGACGTCATCAGAGCGCACCGGAAGCGGCCCGAGAATGACGAGTAAGCCGGGTTGAGGGCCACGAAATTGTGGAGGGGCGGGATGTAAAGGGTCGGGGACTCGGTGCTGGCGGGGGGAAAGGGTCTCTGCGGAGTCCGAACGGACTGCTGTGGGAGTTGTCCCTCTTTGCATAAGTGAGACTGAGCCCAGAGTCCCGTTTGGCCTGGCGCAGTCTCTGAGCCGGGGATGGTTGTCCGGGCTCCATGGAGGCTTCTCTCGGGGGCTCCTCAGCGGTGTGTGGTGCTGGAGGAGGGCCCGAGGCCTGGGCCGAAGCCTCCCTGGGTGCCGTGGTCGAGGCCCCGCTCCTCTCTCCACCTGGTTCCCCTTCTGTGAGGTGCTGATAGTGGGGCCTGCGCAGCCCGCTGTTCGTAAACGGCCCTTGTCTGGTGTGAAGCGCCGGGAGCCTGCTGGGGAATGACATCGCCAACCCAAGGCTTTGGGGGAGGAGATGTGCGAGGAGGGGAGCGAGCACCCGGGGCAGTTACAGGCAGAGGAGTGCAGACATCGTTAACACGGGGCTTTGGATCAGGATTTTGAGTTCCACGTCTGCTGCTCCCTCCTATGTGATCAGCTGTTCCAGCATATCTGAACTTTAATTTTCTCATGTGTGTTATAGGAATAATCACTACTTTGAAGGATTGTTCAGAAAGTATAATGAGATGAAATATGTGTAGCTTTTAATCAGGTGCATGGTAAAGAATGAGTGCTCAATAACCATTAGATGTGTATTGTTACAGAAAAGACTGGAAGTCTGCCTAATACTAGGCAGCTGTGGCAGGTGAAGCAAAGTCATTCCTGGGGTTCCAGGCCCTGCAAGTTGCTCTCTGCGAACAGGTTTTAATCCCCATCTTCCGTTTGAGGGAGAACCAGACTCTGTGTTTAAAATTTGTGACCACTTTGGTTTGCTTGTTCAGATGTACTCAAGGAAGCACAAGGGAACTGGGATGGAATTGATAGAGTATAGTATGAACCAAATTTCTAGTCTTTTGGCCCCTAAATGCCTTTGTCTCATTCTTATTCTCTTCACACTCGTGCTTTGTCCCCAGTGCCACAGTTTTCTTCTTCAGACAAATAAGAAACAGGAGTGTGGAAGTTTTTAAGGTTGAAACCACATTGATCAATATGTATTTTGACTTTGAAGAATGACATACTGTATTTTATCAGTTTAGGACACCATCAGTTGTATGATACATCCCAATCTCATAGATATTACAGTGTTAAAGTTCTTTTTTAGACATCCTATAGTCAACAAAATGTAATATTTCTAACCATCTGCATCCCGCAAAGCTCTATCACATAACTTTTAAATGAGTTACATCTTTAGACTTACAGAGCAACTGCTCAAGTTCCTCACCTGTGGTTATTGAAACCAGTGCAGCTCCACATGTGGTCCATGAGCTGCAGTAGCACCTGAGAGCTTGTTAGAAACGCAGGATCTGGGCGTGGGCCCGACTGCATTCTGATGAGATCCCAGAGTCGTACACACATGGAAGTTTGAGAAGCACTGTTTTAAAGCACACCCTTGGAACTTCTAGGAGGGTAAGATGAGAAGCTTCTAAGAAACCTTTGACGCTGTGCTCTTTGTACCACCCCCTCATCTCCTGTCTGAATAAGGATAATTATCTTCATAGTTAGAAGAGTCTTGGGCCTTATAGCCATACCCGACAGGACCTGATCATTTTGTGTTTTTTAATCCCCCAGGTGTGATCTACCATGCCTTTTCTCAGAAAGAGGCACAAGAGTTGGATGTTCAGGTACAGTGCTTGGCAGGAGGTGTGGGAGCAACAGAGGTGGTGATGGAGATGGCTCGATGGCTTCGAAGCCCTTAGTGCTGCTTCTGATGTCCTTTGCCGTGTCTGGCGTCTGATCGTTCCTGTAGATGTGCTGGGCCAGGTCAGGCCCGTCGTTCTCATGGCCCATTCCGTGTGCTGGCCTCCTTTCGCCTTGTCCCATGTCAGGTTCCGTTAACTGGGGCTTCTTGATCTGTGTCATCTCCCACTGCATAGGGGACACCAGCCTGTGTCCCGATATCTGCCTTGGTAAGCACCGTCACTGTGCCCCCTTCACTCTTGAAGGGGGCCGGCAGATCACATCTCATAAGTGGAATTTGGGTTATATCTGGATGCTGCAAATGGCCGTTGTCAGTTTGGCAGCAGCTCCACCGCTGACTCATAAGGAGAGATTACCTCGAAACCAAGATTTTGAAAGACGGATCTACCTTTATTTGGCTTCTTCATGAAAGAGGGGCCACTTAGGTATTTAAAAGGATTAAATAATTGTCCTCTTACAGTAATAATAATGATGACAGTGAATCTTTGGTTAGCATCTAAAGGTACAAAGCTGAAGCCGACTGCCCCCTTTACCGTGAGCTACCTTGAGGGTTATGTGTATCAAATCTTCCTCCCTCCCCCACGCCTGCTTCTCCCCCATGCAGGGAGACTTGATTACTATTGACAGACTATCCTCAAGGTGTTTTCAGCCTGGTTAGTGCAATGTGGGTCCAGGAAATGGCCCAGCCAAGAGGCGGGCCCTCAGTGGGCAGTGCTCCCCGGGCTGTGGCAGACCAGAGGGCAGAGGCACACCACTGGGGAATAGACATGGAATTCCAACTTGAGAGGCAGTGATGCTTGGAGTTTTTTCAAGAATTACACACAATTATGACAGTGATTGTGCCCAGAAGTCCTCTCTCAGAGCCTGTGCTCAGTCACAGTCCCATGATGCTCTGCTCTGTGTGGGAGGGGTCTGGGGCTGGGATGCACTGACAGTTCCTTTCCCCGAGGGATGCGGGAGCAGACCTGGAGAGTAGCCACACTGCGTTCACAGGGCTGGAAACCCAAGTAAAGAGGATTACGACGTGGCCGCAGTGTCAAAATCCCTACCCCGAGGCTCAGCCTACTCTGGGGTGCCTGGATTTGCCAGTTTCCGTAGTGTTGGGATCATTTCCTTCAGGCTGTTGCTTGATTCTACTCTGAGCCTGCCTTCACCTGGTCACGACTGATTAAATATCCTTGACATACATTTTTCAAGCTTTCCTCCCTGCTGAGGGTGAAAGAAGTCTTTCTTCCAAATGTAAAGGTTTTTTTTATCCTCATCGGAATAACCTTAGAGAAACAGGGAAGGAAGTCAGGGTTTGATGTGGCCGTTCTGTGTGGCAGTCACGAATTGGCATTTGAATGTGACTCCCGCATCTTGACGGCTATGGCAATGACCACTCAGCAGATGAGAGGCTGTGTGAGCCTCTATGGGTAGATGGTGGGTCAGCGAAGGCAGCCCATGGCTGTTGCAGGGGTGTGTGGTTGTGCCGAGGGTCCCAGGCTGCCCCAGCTAGAGGAGTGAGCACCATGCTGCCTTGTCCCCATGCAGCAGCCAGGAGCCCGGCGGGCGGAAGCCTTCGTGAGGGCCTTCCTGAAGCGCAGCATGCCCCACATGAGCCAGCAGGCCCGCGAGGACCAGCTGCAGCGCAAGGCCGTCGTTCTGGAGTATTTCACTCGCCGGAGGCGGAAGGAGAAGAAGAGGAAATCCAAAGGCCTCTCCGCCAGGCAGAGGAGGGAGCTGCGGCTCTTTGACATTAAACCAGAGCAGCAGAGGTATGCCAAGCCTTCCTGCCTGTCTCCCCGCGGCTGCTTCATCTTCCCGGTCTGGATGTGGACTTGGGAAGCCCAGGGGCGCGCTAGGTAGCCTGGCCCCACTTCAGCTGCGGGAGCCTCTCCTGCTTGTGCCACAAGGGGGCAGCCTTCCTTTACCAATTCAGACTGGGTTTGGGTTAGGCTTTTGACAGCAAGGCCTGGTGGGACTGACTGGCTTCTGTCCTAGCCTTAACTAATTAGACCTGCCATGAGTGACTCTGTTGCCCGTGGCAACAGGTTGTTGGTCTTTCAGCTTTCTTAGAAAAAGGGGAACTGATATTTTTAATATATATCTCTTTGTAGCTTTTAATAGCACTAGACAGAATCGCCCACTGGGGATCTATTGCCAAAGAACATGCTGCCCACGTGTTTCGGAAGTTTCTGAAAGGGACGCATCACTCTGTGGGAGGACATGTTCCTCCCTCCAGCTGCCACTCCATCCCTCCTTGGCCACGGTTCTGCATTTGCATGTCTTAGGACTGTTTGTCGACTTTTGCTTCAAGATCTGTAGCCAGATAGCCTCCACATCCCACAAGACAAAGCCTGTCACTTTGCCCACAGCCCCTCTCACGAAATCAGCAAGGCTGCGTGGAGGAGGTGCTGCTGCCTGCCCCAGGTTGGCCTCGCTGTGTCCCCACCCACAGAGCCCACTTTGGGTTTGAGCTTGAGGCCCCCGTTTCTCTCACCAACAGCTCTGTTAGGTGGGTTCCCCACGAGGCACCAGGACAGGTGGTGCTGGCTCCAGAGGAAAGCCTTTGGGGTTCTCCCACCTGCCCACTCACCGTCTAGACAGACCTGTTCCCTCACACAGGGACTCGTGTGACAGCCAGCAGCTCCTGTTCACCGAGGGTTACCAGAAGCAGCTTCCTATAACAGAAAACCTCAAAATAACAGCGGCTTAAGCCAGATTGAAGTGAATTTCTCTCTTATGAGAAGAGGTGCAGATGGACACCATCCTGGGCTGGTGAGGCTGCTGTTCCACAGCCGTTGGAGGCCCAGGCAGTGCGGCCCGGGCCGCATCCTTGCTGCTCCACCATCATTAGATGTTGCCTCTGGTCTAAGGTGTCTGCTTGAGCTCCAGCCCTCACAGCTGCATCTAGCCAGCAGGAAGGATGGAGGGGCAGAGGAAGGCAGCACCGTCCTCTTCTCCTTAGCAAATGCTTAGTCTCGAGAGGGCTCTACTCGTGACGAAGCTGAGGTTCAGAAGGGCAAGGTGCTGGATTTAGGTTATCTGCAGGAAAACTGGTTGGCACCCAGTCCCCGGTGACCCCAGGTCATGCACCTTAGCATCAAGCCAAGCTCACAGTGCCTAACTTTTTACCTCTTTCTGACTTTGCCGCAGGTACAGTCTTTTTCTCCCTCTTCATGAACTCTGGAAACAGTACATCCGGGACCTGTGCAATGGTCTTAAGCCAGACACGTGAGTTGCCGTTCTGAAGCCTAACCCTTCGGGACAGAACCCAAGTCTTAGGGTCACTGTAAATGCAGCCGTAGGAGCTAGCGGTCTGCCTCACCTGGCTGTAGAAGTCTGTAGGCCCATGTGCTTCTTCCAGGACTCTCTATTATGGTGTACAGTAAGGGCTTCTCTTTACCTTGTAGGCAGCCACAGATGATTCAGGCCAAGCTGTTAAAGGCAGATCTTCATGGTGCCATTGTTTCAGGTGAGTCGCCTGAGAGCACTTGGTCGTCCGGATGCCCAGGCCATCACTTGGTGGCAGCACAGTGCTGTGTCTCGGTGTCAGACACTTTCTTTGCCACGTGGATATCCCCAGACCACCAGGACTTAGTGTCGGAGGTGACTGTGCTGTCTTAGCCAGTTCTGGCCACTCGTTGGCACTCTAAATTGTCTCTATATACCCTCTCCGCCCAGCAGCTGCTAGCACTTGCCCACGGCCTGGAATCGTGAACAGCGCATCCTTTTCATCCAGTCTCGTGGTTTTAAATGTCGGCTATTGGCTGACAGCTCCCGAGTGGTCGTCTGCAGCACAGACCTTCCCCAGAGCTCCTTCACTCACCCCACTGTCCACTGGACACAGCCCCCCGACGTCACAGGCGTCATAGACTGTCCACATCCAGACAGAACTCCAGGCCTCTCCTCAGGTCACCCTCGGGGTCTTCCCTAGCTCATTCCTATCACCACTGTTTACCCTGGCTGTGCAGGCCAAAAACCTAGGACCATCTGCATTTCTTCTTCCTAATCCCCCCTCCAATCCATCAGCACCTCCTAGCACCCAAATCTAAGCCACCACCATCTACCCTGGTTTACTGCAGAAGCCGCCCAACCCTGTCCCTGCTGACACACTGTTCCTCCCCCGACCAGGCAGCAGAGTGGAGGTTTCATAACAGAGGTCAGATCGTGTCCCTTCTGCCTCCTTCCTGTGGTCTAAAGGGCCCCTCCGACTTCCCTGGGCACCAGGTCTAACCACACTGGCCTGCTTTCTGCTGCTCACACACCAGCCGTGGCCCTGCCTCAGGGCCTTTTCACTTGCTCCTTCCCTCTGCCCAGAGCATTCTGTGTGTTCACAAACTGAATCTTCGTTATTCAGGTCCCTACTCAGATGTCACTTCCCGTGAGGGTCTGCCATGGTTAAAAGTGACCCCCGCCCCGCCGCTCGTTACCTCATCCATGTGTTCACAGCACTCACCACTGTCAGGAAATAGAATAGTCTGGTCAGGTGCGCGTTATTCTTCTCCCGCATTAAAACATCAGCTCCCTGAGAGCAGGCCCAGGACTGTCTGGGTCACAGCTGTGCCGGACGCCTGCCCAGGGCGGTGCTCAGTGAACGTCTGCTGACTGTACCGGGGACGGGTTAGGGGAGGCGAGAGGCCAAGGGGCCTGCTGCCCCCTCACTACTTGGTGAGCTACAGCGGGATGCGTTCTGGGCCCAGTGTGGGAGGTGGTGGGGAGACTGTGATGGATGGGTGTTCACTCAGATCCTGTAAGTGAGACTGGGCACCGCCACAGTCCTCTGACGGTGGTTCTTGGTGGTGCTGGACACACATTTGACCTCTTGGCTCCAGAATCCTGCCCAAACCCCATGGCTGCGGGCCCTCCAGAGGACCCTTGTCAGAGCACCCAGAGGCTGCAGGGCCACAGGGAAGGGATTGGGAAGCCTGGCTTCTCGTCCACTGGGTCCCTGCCCCGCTGAGGAGCCTCCACCGCCCCTGCCCCTCTGGGTGCTCTTTCTTCGTCTGCTGGATAAAGGGTGGGCCCAGAGCCCCCGGCCCTGCAGGCCTGGCCAGCTGTGGCTCCCCCAGTACCACAGAGGCCTGACCCTTGAACCGCCCTGTTCCTTTGCAGTCACAAAATCCAAATGCCCCTCCTATGTGGGTGTTACGGGAATCCTTCTACAGGAAACAAAGCATGTTTTCAAAATTATCACCAAAGAAGACCGCCTGAAAGGTACGTCACTGTCTCTGAGGACGCTGTGGGCCGTGGCCTCCCCAGCCACTTCCTCAGCCCTTTCCTCATGACTCTAAGGGTTTGCTTTGGGCTCTCAAGTCAGCACAGGTGGCAGGTACCTGCTGATCCTACCTTCCGAGCCTGCAGAGACCATCCCTGCCCACCCCGCCGCCGGCTCCCCCTGAGACGGTCGTGAGCCCAGCCAGCAGCTCTGGCCTGATACGACCAGGGAAAGGAAGGGCTGCCTGGCTGAGCCCAGACGCCTGGGTCCGTTTCCGGGCCGGGGGCCCTCCACCTGCCCAGAGGCTGCTGCCTCCCAGAGGAATGTTGCTGAACAGACAGTGGGGAGGAAGCTGAGGGAGCGCCTGTCCCCTGGAGTCTCGAGGTCCGCACCCTTGGCGGTGACCCTCGGGTTCCAGGGCCGCGCGTGCTGGCTCCTCCACTCTCTGTGCTGTTGCTGGGCCAGAGCCGAGGGGGAGCAGCGGAGGGAGGGGATTCCCACACTCCTGCCTCACCCGCGCATCCAGAGATTTCAAAACCACAGTTGGAGGGTTTCATTCCTTTCATTGTTGAGCTTGGTTTTTCTTGCTGCTTCCTTCCATTTCCCTGTATATTCTGCTCTCATTTTGAACCTCAGAAAGTGGTGTAGACATTTCCCCACTGAGCATAAAGCCACGAGTCTGTCTGACAGTTATGTGGGAAGACATGTTTCTGGAAGTTTTCTGGGAGTTTCTGGTTCTGGGAGTTTGGTTCATAGCCTTTGACCCTGAAAATCAGGTGTTGCATTGTATTTAAAATGTGAATAAATTCGCCTCCTGGCAGAATAACCCTGCAGTCCTGTGCTGTGGTCTTTGCAGCTCCCCATTTCCCATCAGCTTGTTTTCTATGACAAACATTTTAGGAATAATAATCTGGAGGAAAGTGAACTTAACTACCAGGATTTTCTTCCTCATCTTTTTTTCCTGCTTTTTTTCAGTTATCCCCAAGTTAAACTGTGTGTTCACTGTGGAAATCGACGGCTTTATTTCCTACATTTATGGGAGCAAATTCCAGCTTCGGTCAAGTGAGCGGTCTGCGAAGAAGTTCAAAGCAAAGGGAACAATTGACCTGTGAGCTCCTGCCGCCCAAGGCGGTCGTTTATGACCCCGAAACCTGGAAGCACCCTGCATGCCCACCTTTCCGGGAAGAGATGGTCAGGCCAGTTCTGGTGATAGACCACCTCCAGCCAGTTGGAATCTGTGTGAAGGACACAATCATCCGGGAAGAAACACGCGGTGCTGAGTAAAGAAGTCAGGAACAGAGAGGTGGTGTTCACAGGTGACCTGAATCTATATGACTCCCGTGGAGAAAGAAGATGGCAGAGAACACCAGAATTAGCACAGGTTGACTTGAACGGTGGGATTATTTGGTTTTTATTTGTTTTTCATACTTGTCTGTGTTTTCCGAGTGTTCTATGATAAATCAGTTGCTTGTGTAATAATAAAATACACACAGAGGCATCAACAGGCTACAGGAGTGATTCCAGCGGCTCAGCCAGGTGGGAATGAGGGGGAAGCCCCAAGGCTGCACCTGGACTGTTTTCACTTTGCTCTGTGGACACCTGCCGTCAGCTGCTGTGCTCACAAGTCCCATGGTGCGGTGTGTCTTTGACACATGACCTTAAGTCTTGCTCGCTGTAAACTCTGACCTAACTAGGGTTTACATTGCTGTTTTAAGAAAGTTGCAGAGGAGTGGATGGTGACGTTGCTGAATGACGTAGGGCTCATTCGCGCTGGAATGAGCACAGGGCAAAGCGCCGGGTCTGGACGTGCTTAGTCATGACTGTTCCAGCGCAGGGAGCCTAACCCACAGCAGCCCCCTCCTTCCTGGGTTGGGGAGGCTCCGGAGAAGGGCAGGCTGAAAGGGGAGTGAGGGCCGCCCCTCTTTCCGAGGTGCACCCACCAGGAGAGCAGGAGGCCCCAGCAGTGGACCTAGTTGACATCTTAGTTGCATTCTTTGCTCTGCCCCGGGCCGGTGTGGCAGTGTGCCTGCAGGCCAGCCGATGAGGCCCTTCCATGCAGGGCCCCAGTGAGGACTGGCAGGCCAGTCCTCCAGTGTCTGGTGTTAGAGAAGCCACGTGGCTCAGAAGGACCTAGTGCCCCTTTCCTGTCACAAGCAAGCATTTGCCCACCAACAAGGTGAGGGCAGAAGCATTCCTGGTGACAGACCAGCGGCAAATGCGCGTGCTTTTCCTTCACAGCAGAAGGAGCAGCGCTGTGGAGGCGTTGCTTTCTTGGTACTTCGCAGTCGGACTCCACGCTGCAGGATGAACGCCGTGGTGGAGAAGGGCAGCGTAACACTGACCTCAGGACAGGAGGCAGGAAGGCCCACCTCTGCCAGCGCACCTCCCAAGGCCGAGTGCACCCAGAGTCCCGTGGGGACCCGGCCCAGTGGCTCGACCCCACCATCTGAGGTGTCCCTCGCTCGCCAGGACTGTTCTGAGATGGCTTGGATGCTCTTTCCGGTCTAGCCTGTGGTGTGGAGCTCAGGTCCCGCACCGCCTTGGACAGGGCAGCCTGGGCCAACGACAGCCCTGGGGGGACACCCTCATTTTGCTCCAGGGATACTCAGACTCCAAGCGCTCGCTTTCCAGGGGCCTCCCCGCTTGAGAGGGGTAGAGCTGGGATATGCGCCCTGTCATCTGGCTCCAGAGCTATGCCTTTGACTAGAGGGTGGCCGCAAGGATGAGCAGACGCTGTTCTCAAGTGCAGCACGCGGTCCCTTAATTACCTGGGTTCCCATCAAGGAAATCTCTGTCTTCTGTGTAGGATGGCTCTGTTTTTCCAGCCATCTGAAAGTGCTACATTGGTGACAGCATAGGTGCCGTAACTTCCTAACCACACTGCTCTTGCCAGCCCCTCTGCAATGTAAAAGGCGGCCACTGTTGGGTAAAGATACAGTTGCTTTCCAGAAAGGTCGTTGGTACCACTTGCCACGTGAAATCTGTTTTTCATTTGGCGCAGACTCAAATTTCCCTGTGAGTGGCTGTTCAATTTGTAGACTTCTCTCCCTTCTCCCCAAGGAGCCTTGGTGAGAACACTCACCTACCATGAAGCTGCTCCGTGCATGCCTGTTTCTAGGGTGTCCACCCCGGGGTCACTGGGTCCTGTGCCCCAATGACCATGCCATCCCCCAGGCAGAGGAGGGACGAGGAGGCCCAGGCCACGCAGAGCACCAGCTCTGAGTGAGTGCTGCTGATGAAGGTGCGCTAACTGCCACCCAGAACAAGGCCTGAGGCCCGGGAAGATGGGTCAGGGCTGGCTGTGTCCCCACGGTTGTGGCTCGCAGCTTGTCACGGAGGGCAATGTGGTACCTTCATCTCCACTGCCTAGGGAGCAGGACCCCAGTCGAGCTGGGCCCTTGGACATGTAGGCCAGAGTGAGACATGGCTGAATCCGCCTCGTGTGGAAACCTTCATGCTCTGGGGAAACCTGGGCCCCAGAGAGGCCTGTGGAGCAGCAGCGTGGTGAACACCTCGGGATGGATACAGGAGGCTGTGGGGCCAGGAGACATCAGCCCAGTGACCCGCGCTTTCCCAAAGAGTGAGCGGGCCTGGGACCCTTACATTCCCAGGGCCAGCTCTGTGGAGGGCACGGCCACAGCACAGAGCCCACGGTGGACGGGCCAGGGCCTCTCGGGGAGGAAAAGGACAGTGTGGGTCACGACCGTCGTGTTAGTGGGCCAGGGCTCCGTAACAGTGCTGCGGGGGAGCGGCTTAAACACTGGGCGTTTCTCTCACCCTTCTGGAGGCTGGAAATCCGAAACGAAGATGCCGTCAGGGTTGGCACCGTGAAAGCTTTGCCCTTTGGCCACCTCGCTGGGTCCTCACGTAGCCTTCTCTGTGCTCGCTCCGGGGCGTGGGTCTCTGGTGTCTGTTCTTATAAGGACACCAGTCCTATGGGATTACGGCCCCACCTCCGTGACCTCCTTTAACTTGCATTACCTCCTTAAAGGCCCTCTCTCCAAATACAGTCATATTGGGGGTTAGGGCTTCGACACAGGAATGGGGGGGACGTAATTCAGTCCATGACAGTGTGGAGCTGTCCCAACTGGAACAGACGGGCTGTGCCCCCCAGAAAGGCTCCAGTGCCCAGCCCGGCCCCGCCCTCAGGCACTGGCCTGGCCTTCCCATACCCCAACATGGGGTGCTCGCACCCTTAGCCAGTTCAGCCAGCCCGGCTGCTAGACCCGGGGCTCCCACCACCCCTGGGTCCATGACTTGCTCAGACAGGAGCTGAGGCCCAGCTGCTCCCTCCAGCACCAGGAGCCCTGGGTTGCCAGGTTCCCTTTCGTTCCTGCCACCAGCTGAACTCCTCTTCCCCTGCCCTTTCGTTGGGCCAGGCACAGTCTGGTTGGGGGAGGACGTGCAGACAGGTGGGCAGAGGGTCAAGGGAGGCTCCCCGGAGGAGGGGCTTCTGGAGCCAGGCAGCTGTGGGGTGTGAAGAGTGTGGTCACACGGAGGCTCAGGGCAGGGCCTGCAGAGGCATCATGGAGGACCCAGGGAATCACCTGCCCCCTGGGCTCAGGGCCAGCAGGAGGGGAGAGGGCCTGTGGCTGCCCGTCGGAAACCCATAGGAGACGCCCAGCTCGTTAGTGGCAGTGGAGAGATGTCGGGAGCTGCCAGAAAGGTTCTAACCCGCGGGGCAGGATGTGGAATTCTGCTGATTCCTTCACCCAGTCCTGAAGTCTTTTGGGGCCTCAGTGTCATCATCTGTCAAGTGGGGCTGTGAGACTAGATTCTGGAACTTTCTGTGTCAGAATCAGCAGGCTGCATGTTGAAAGCAGCCGGATCTGGGCTGCAGTCAGACTGCAGGGAGGAGGCCCGGGTAGCCTCCTGCTTCTCCAGGACCCCAGCTGGCTCCTCCAGTCGTGATGGGTGAGGATCCTGGACTCCAGATGCTGTCTCAAGTCTTTTCCAGCTCTGACATCTGGACTGTGACTTAGGATTTGGGACTCTCAGGATGCTGTTTTCTGGATGCTGGAAAAGCTTGTCAAATGACTGATCTCTCAGGTTCTGAAGAGTAAACATGAACATTCCCCCAAAAAGCCATAAATTCTGGTAAAAAGCTTTCTTTCTGGACAATGGCTTTAGTTCTAATTTAGTTTGCATTTCTTAGCTATAATGCCTAATTAAGACATCTGTTAAATGTCTATAATATTAATTTAATAGAGGGGGTTCTAATAGAACTGTATTGGAATTGTCCATTTAATTAACCTCATGGGCCTTTAATGGATGTCTTAAATAGACATCATTAACAAGAGTGCCAGACGAATTAAAATTAGAGTCAATAACATTCTTGGTAATTTTTCCTGAGCTGTGAAAGACAAACATTGCTAAGTAGACAGATGCAGAGAGATCTGGGCTGCACAGAGGAGTGGCGGAGCTGGCGTCCCCAGCAAGGGTCCAGAATGGACAAGGCCCACATGGGGCTCAACCATTCTGTGTCCTGGTCAGCTTTGCCCAAAGAAGGTACTACCGTCCAGCCACAGGTGGCAGCTCTCGGGAGCCCAGACCTGCCCCTTCATACACTTTTCCTGGGAAAAGTTAGCTGGCCTGGTCCTTTAGACTGAGCTCCTGGATGAGGAGAAGGAGTGGTGAGGGAGGAAGATGCAGGAGGAAATAGGACTCGCCCAGAGACTGGCATTAAGCACCGCAGATGACGTATCAGGTGAGATGGAACAGACTAGGACAGGGCGGGATTGCTGGGATGGGAGGGTGGGCTGGGGTGAAATGGAAATCATTATACCACTTTTGGCCCCACCACTCCACTGGGCAGCTCTCGCTCAGATGGACCACATCTCTCCCAAGCCAGCGGTCGATTCTCTACCTGTCTCTCGTCTGGCCTCTCATCAGCATTTGACACGGTTGGCCATGCTCTGCCTCCTGAAAGCCTGCTGTAGCCCCACCCTCCCTGACTTTCCTCCTGCCTCCTGGCCGCCGTCTCAGCATCCGCCTTCTCGGTACGTGTCCACCTTCGCAGCGTCCTTTTGTGGATCCCCTCCTCTCCCAAGCCTCTGAGTGCTGGGCTAGCCCTGAGCTCCATCCGCGGACTCTTCCACAGTCGCTCCCTGGGTGGCCTCCTCCACAACTTCACAGACAGGAGACTC